AACGGTTCGGACGGTTTTCATAAACCGTTCCATCCCTAGTGCCTGGATGATCCTCCACTTCCTCTGGTGAGGGGCGCACACGCAGCCCGAGAGCTAAACTCACCAACATCACTGCAGTACAGCGAGGACCTTCCTCTGTCCGACGGGGTGGTGTAACCCACTTGATTGTTCACGATGAGGTGGATGCTGCCACCCACTCGGTAGTGAGGCAGATTTGACAGAGTCAACGTTTCCGGAACGATCCCCTGACCCGTAAAAGAGCCGTCACCGTGGACCTGGAAATAAGAAAATTCAGGAGATAACATTAGATTACAAAGACGGTGTCCCACAAACTTTGAACGTGCCTGAATCAAATTGGTCTGAAGCCCCTGGCTATGTGCTAAGGAAGCACTTTAACCTTTTATTCAGGCGTTTTGGAGCAGGGACACATCTAATTGTAGCCCTAAATATTGCGCCTGCTCACAACAAACAGACTCCCAGATAATTTCTGAGATCCTACAAAGGTTTTTTATATGATTGTGGAGATTGTTATAAAATAAGCTGATGTTGTGTCTTGCATCATATTCTCATCAAAGACCAAATAATGAACCATTTGTAGTTTACTGAGAAAAGTTATCAGATTTTTATTTACAAGTGAAAGATGTTTCATTCCTTACGACCATTTACACGCCACACTAGCACAGTTCCTCGCCTCCCAGTGACGATCTAAGGTACTACTGCTCTCTAGAGGTAAACAAGCAAATCAACATGGCGGCGCCTGTAACATTCAGGAAGTTTGGTTATAATTGTGATATTTCTTTGCTTGCAGAGAGTCAGGAAAAGAAGGCAGCCTTTGATGAAATGACTTGACATAGTCGGCTTTTGGGAAGTGGATACGACAAACGATAAGTCTAATCAGGGCTTACAGACGCAGGAAAAAACTACAAACGTTTAGGTTAATCTCACTGCTAAGCAGAATCATCACTGAAAATTGTATATGAATGTCTGAAATTTCATGATTACCGAGGGTGACTGTAAGGAGATGATGCATTCTGCTGATGTGCTCTTTGTTATCTGAGAACCGAGCCAAAACGGAACCGCGACTGATGAACTAGTACCAGTTTAGCGCGGTTCAGTTAGGTTTGACATGGTCCAGTTCAGTTGTGCATGCTATTTGCACTCAACAGTTATCTTGGTTACCGTGCTCGGATTGATCTCGGCACGGTTTTAAAAGGGTACTAGAAATTAAGCTTTACTTTCCTCCTGATTGGGAACAGATGCGTTTCCAAGAAGATGGTCAGATTTTGGTTGAGTTTTAGTTAGTTTAAATTTTAAAAGGTTGTATATTATGCAAAATTACTTTCGTAAACAGTTATGTGTCCTTAAGCCTGTGCATGGTTTATAAATGTAATAAAGTTCACAAATGAAAAAGAGAAAACCCTCTCTCTCTGCCTTGTTTTTCCCTCTTAGTTAATGTGTGCTTAAAATGCTTCTTTTCAAAAGTGTGCCCTTTATGAGGTCATTTGGGGGAAAAAGCAGTGATTCACAATGTGGCAGTTCACCAGCAGGCTTCTTTACACACCTTAAATTAAAGAGTGGAGCCATACCAATTGAACGTAAGAGTTGAACATGACTTAACCATTTTGGACTGCTTAGCCTGTAATCACGTTAGCACTGCAGCTAATGTTTGTATCTGAAAGCCTGTAAACATGTTAGCACTGCAGCTAATCTTTGTATCTGAAAGTCCAAAAACNAAAGTGCCTGAGATGACGTGTTCTGAATTGGCGCTATAGAAATAAACTGAATTAAAATGAATTAACATGGACGGCTCAATAATAGTGTCGTCTGAAAATGTACTGGATGCTGTGGGTTTAGAGGTCGCTACCTGGAGGAAGCGCTCCATACGGCAGGATGAGTGTTCTGGTCCGGCTCCATCATAACCATGAGGCAGCAGGATCACCATTCCACACTGAAGCAGCCACTTGGCCTCACCTGCAACAGACCAAGCCTCTTTTGCATCAACACCAATCTCTTTTAATCTCAGTGTGAGAGTTTAATTCTGGCTGACCTCCAGAGATGAAAGTATCAAAGATGATCTGAGCTCCGTTGAAGAAATCTCCAAACTGAGCCTCCCAGATGGGCAGCAGCTTCGGCTGAGCGATGCTCATCCCGTACTCAAACCCAAGCACCGCCTCCTCAGACAGCGGGCTATTGCACACCTGAACACCCACAGAGAGGGGGCATTTTCTGAGTTATTACCATCCATATACCCCACAGACTGTAGGTTCTGTTTCAGAAGTACCTCCAGGAATCCCGTCTGCTGGGGGCTGATGTGGTTCAGAGGAACGTAGGTGTCGTTGGTTTCCTGACACACAACCATGGCGTGTCGCTGGCTGAACGTGCCTCTCCCCACGTCCTGCCCGCTTATTCGAATATTAAACCCTGTAACATTCATTTGTCAGTATCCAGGCAGCAGAAACATCTTTAAAGGCAAAGAAAAAGCTCCAAAGGCGCACCCACCCTGGCAGAGCAGAGAGCCGAAAGCTAAGGCCTCTGCTGTCGACCAGTCCAGCTTGGTGCCCTCCTCCAACTTTTGCAGCCGAGCCTGAACTCACAATAAGAAAGAAATGGAGACCATTAGCCTATGATGACGACATGAGATCCCCCCCACCCCGCTGAGCGCAGTGCTGTACCTGCACGTGGGTTTTTAGGAGGTGGTTGTGTAAGCTGATTTGTTCAGGGATGTCCACAGACTTTGCTCCGATGAACTGCAGCAGCTGAGCAGGGACGCCCGTGTCCCAGGTGGTGACTCTGGCACGAGGTTCCACCAGATCCCCCCAGCGGCCCTGCAGGTTGGTGGGGGGAGGGCTGTACAGGGTCATGCCGGACAGCTTTTCATTTAGCATGCTGTAGTAGCTGGACTTGATTTCTGCACGCTCAGCCTCCGTCATCAGACCCTCCGAGATCAGCTGGTCCGAGTAGGAGTCAGGGGCGCTCTGACGGGATCTGAAAGGAGGAAAAATCATCACCAAACTGTCTTCAAGACAACAAATTTACCCTGATCACTGACTATTACTGTAAAAGAAACCAACCTAATAATCTTGTACATGGCCGGGTTGGTGAAGAAAGGTTCATCCAGCTCGTTGTGACCCCACTGACGGTAGCAGATGAGGTCCAGGATGATGTCTTTCCTGAACTGCCGTTGATAGTCCACAGCCAGCCGAGCTGCCCGCAGCACGTCCTCTGCATCATCGCCGTTGACGTGGATCACAGCACAGTTCACCATTTTGCCTAAAGGAAAAAAAAAAAAAAAA